GTTTGGAGAAGCTCTTCCTTGTAGCAGAACTTGTTTTTGTTAGCCACAGGAGTTTTCTTTGACTTTGCACATATTTGCTAATGAACTAGAAGAATGTTTTCCTCTGTGTAAAAGTTGGATAGAGTTCTGTGGAGCGTCATTTCTACTGTTCACTGGAATGCTATGGAAATGTTCTTGTGGCACTTTACTGGGAAGTATGAAAAACACGCTCATGACATTTCAAAGATTGGTATTCTACAGTATTACTGTGGAGTCTAAAAAGGTTTGAACAAAGCAGATGACTTATTTTATTTATACTTACAGATATATCTCTTTTATACAGTAAAAATATTCTTTAACATTTGTATAAATGAAATTCTTGTAGTATGAACATTTATTTTAGTATTTTAAAATTATTGAGAGCAACTGATTCTAAGGTATCCTTTTAAATTGAAGACATCTCCTAATTTTTCTATTAAAATTTAGATTTTATATAGTGCTTTTTCATAAAAGAAGATATAATTTGCTTTCTCATGTACCTGTCTCTTCTTCCTTTAAATCCTTCTTCCTTCCTTCCTGGCTCCCTTTCCTTCCTTTCTTCTTTACTCTCTCCTCTCTTTTCTTCCCTCTCTTTTTTTGGGGTGGGGGAGTACCAAATTACTTTATTTGAAGGAATGGTACAAATGAAAGAACGTAAGTGGATGATTTGTACAACTTACAGAAAAGGTAAAGGTAACTCCAACATGCACGTACTGCTTTGGTGACCAGGGACATCACCCCCGTGGCTGTGGGAAGCCAGCCTAAGGCTACCTCTCATCACTGTCTCCCAGCGTGTGATTGTCAAAGAGATACTCTGCCATGCCAAATTCAGGGGCCCTCATCTTGCACAAGTTAGTTACTCCACCCCTCTCTTTATTTTCTCCATGAAATGATGTAAAAGCAATGAATAGTCATAGGTATTTGTTATATTTAATCATTGTCAACATTTTGATGTTCCTCTTTATTTCTCCAAGTCAGATATACTATAATTTATTTAAGCATGCCTAATTCTGCATTTATTGCTTGCTTCTAACTCTTTATTATCATCACTATGATAAAGATCTTTGTGCTTGACACTTTTTTGCTATACTTAAGATTGTTATTTAGGATTATTTTCTAAAGCTAGATTTCCCATTGTAGGATTCTAGGATATCAGTCAGGTATTATTAGATTGCTCTATATCCTCACGAACAATGTAAGATTAAAAGCATTAAATTTTACCATTTAAAAAATTACTAGGTCAATTTACATTTCCCACCAGCAGTGTATGAGGGTTCCCTTTTCTCCACATCCTTTTCAATACTTTTTATTTTTTGTCTTATTGATAATAGTTATTCTAACAGGTGTAAGGTAGAATCTCATTGTGATTTTGATTTGCATTTCCCTTATAACTAGTGATGTTGAGCATCTTTTCATATGTCTGTTGACCATCTGTACATTTTCCTCGGATAAGTGTCTGTTTAGATATTCTGCTCATTTTTTTTTGGATTGTTTGCTTGTTTTTTGTTATTGAGCTGTGAATTCTTTATATATTTTGGATATTAGCCCTTTATCAGAGGTATCATTTGCAAATATCTTCTCCCACTCAGTTGGCTGCCTTTTTGTTTTGTTGATAATTTCTTTTGCCATACAAAAGCTTTACTCAAAAAATTTGAAAACACCTGTTTAAAAAGACATATGTACCCCTGTGTTCATTACAGCATTATTTATAATAGCTGAGACAAGGAAACATCCTAGGTGTTCTACTGATTTTTGGATAAAGAGGATGGAATACTACTCAGCCATAAAAAAGGTGAAATGTTACCATTGGGACAATATGGATGGATCTTGAGATTGTTATGCTGAAAGTGAAATAAATCAGATAGAAAAGGACAAGAACCATATGATTTTACTCATATGTGGAATATAAATGAAAAGCAACAACTGAACAAACAATAAAACCTAAACTCATAGATACAAACAACAGAATGGTGGTTATCAGAGGGGAAGGGGCTAGGGGAGGATGGAGAGGGTAAAGGGAGTTACACAAGGAGACTAGACTTCATGTGGTGTGCCACAGTAGAGGGTACAGATTTTGTATTATAATGTTGTACACCTAAAATTTATATAATGTTACTAACCAGTGTTACCCCAACAAATGTAATTTTTAAAGAAATTCTTGGGCCTCTGAGCCAAGATGGCAATTTAGGAGACTCCTGAATTTCCTTACTCCTGTGGATGCTCAGAATGCACAGTTACGTATGGAGGAATTCCCTCTGAGAAAAGTCCAAACACTAGCTGAATGACTCCTACTTGTTGGGTGACTGAGAAAATATCTACATCAAAATGAGTAGGAAATGCTGAGACATACTCTCATCATAAACCTCACCCCTGGCACCATACAATTGGGAGGGAACCCTCAACTCCCAGGTTCTCCCTAAGAAGGAAAGGGTTTAGACCACACATATAGTCTCCCAACTTTTCAGACTGCCTGCCAACTGAGAGATAGGCACTCAAATTACCTATCTGTGCATCTAGTTGCTGGATGTGATTCTCCCAAGAGCCCAAAAGAGGTAGTGGGTACTTCCCCTGATTCTTCTTTCATCTTGCTCCAATAAGAAAACCAAGTTGCCAGTATCTCCCTGGAAAGAGCTCGTACACACATCTAGTGCCCCAAGTTTTATGGCTGCTGCTCGAGGGATAATCCCCCATATAAGCTAGCCCTGGTAGATAATGGAGCTTGCATTCATGAGTCTTATAGAACTATAGTAAAGAAGGAAGCACTTTTTAAATGGACATAGGAACACTACTCATGGCTATACACCTAGGCTCAGTGCAGAAGAAGTAGGCCCAGTTTCTCTGTGGAAGAGATTTGAATGCACGCTTTCCTAGGTACTGCGTGAGGGTTCAACTTTTTAAATTTTTTTTGGTTAATCCTCACCAGAGGATATTTTTTCCATTGCTTTTTAGAGAGAGTGGGAGGGAGGGGGAGAGAGAGAGAAACATTGATGTGAGAGAGACACACTGATGGGTTGCCTCTTGCGTGCACCCAGACCAGCTGGGATTGAACCTGCAACCCAAGTTGAATCTTGAAGACTTGTGCTGAGCAAAAAAAGCCAAATCCAAAAGGTTACACATTGTATGGTTCCATTTACCTACCATTCTTGAAATGACAAAATTATAGAAATGGAAAACAGATTAGTGGTTGGGTTGCTAGAGGTCATGGATGGGGTAGTGATAGGAGTAAGAGAGATGAGTTGTGGCTATAAAAGGGCAAGAGGAGTCAGTGTGGGATGATGGCTAAGAGCCCAGACTCTGAATTCCACCAGCTTGGGATAATGAAGTCCTGACTCTCCCATATCCCATCTGGCTAAGGTAACCTCACCAGTCCTTAATTTCCTTATTTATAATATGTATATTATAAAGTTGTTACAAGGAGTGCCTGGCACAGAGTAAGCACTTAATAAATGTTTGCTGCTATGACATGACAGTGGTAAAGGTGGAGATGTGGGTAGTGGGGGAAGAAGAGGTAATGCTTGATGTAGGCAACGATGTTGTAATATCGAGAGGGGCAGTTATCCTAGAGGCAAATACTCCTGAACTGAATTTTAAAGGATGAATAAGAATTAGCTAGAAAAACAAAGGAAGGAAAAATATTGAGGACAAACAGAAGAGCATAAACAAGGTATAGAAGCATGAAAGGTTATGTATAATTATATGTAGTACAGCAATTTGGTATTAATAGAACTTGAAGTAGGAATTGGAAAGTGAGAGAGGCAAGAGGTAGGCAAGGACCAGGTCATAGAAGCTGTTGAATGTTTTTCTGAGCAAAAGAGCTAAAGAGAAGAGAATGGTATGGTCAGACTTGTATTTCTAGTTAGCTCATTCTGCATTGTGAAGGAATCTTTGAAGTAGAGGGTGTAACTGGAAGACACTCTTTATTAATTCATTTAAGAGAAGAAGGCCAGAATCAGGGCCATAGTGATTGAGAGTGGAATGTCACTATTGTCCTATTTTCCATATAAAAAACTCCAGTTCAATAGGAGTTTCAATAGAAGAAGCAGGGTAGCCTCAAGTTGTAGGGTGTGTGAGAACAGAAGTCTTATACGTGTGAGGACGCTAAGAAGCCCTATCCAAAATTGGCTCTAGTTTCTCTGGCTCAGACTAGTTACTAGGACTGAATGGTCCCTTCCATCATCTAGGTTAGATATGAAATCTTACAATCACCTCAGTCAAATATGTCCACCTAATAGAAAGCTCACATTCTGTTTCTTTTTAATGCAGTAAGGTGAGAGGGGAGGGCATAAAGTGGGAGGAAACAATTACCAAGAAGTATATCTAAGGAAAAACAATTTGATTGCATCTTACATTTGCTAAAATATTTTTCATTTATTTTCCCTGATTTGTGAAGGTTGAAAAGTATTAATTGTAATTTTCTTATATAATGCTAAAAGGTTAAAAAAAATAAAGAATTCATTTATGTCATATTCACTATTTTATATTCTTCTGTGCACTTTATTGCTGTGAGAAATAGACTTCTAATTGTCCAAATTTCCCAGTGTAACTCCTATGGAAAGGTACTATATCTATTTTATAGGCTCTGTGTTGAATACTTGAAAGCACAGCTGACTAAAGAGTAAATTAATGGCCCAGCTGGCATCGCTCAGTGGTTGAGCATCAACCTATGAACCAGGAGGTCACGGTTCACCTCCTGGTCAGGGCACATCACCATGTTGGGGGCTTGATCCCCAGTGGGGAGCAGACAGCAGATCAGTGACTCTCTCTCATCATTGATGTTTCTCTCTCTCTCTCCCTCTCCCTTCCTCTCTCTGAAATCAATAAAAACTTTTTTTTTTTTTAAAGTAAATGAATGGTTTCACATTATGAAGGACAGTGCTATTTGTGTGTGTGTATATGTAAACAGTCTTTGAGATATAATTCACATGTCATACAGTTCACGCATTTCAAGTGTACAATATAATGGTTGGTTGTTTCTTTAACAGGGCAAAAAAGATGTGACCCAGATATTTAACAACATCCTGAGAAGACAGATAGGCACTCGATGTCCTACTGTGGAGTTCATTAGTGCTCATCCTCATATCCTGTTCATGCTCCTCAAAGGGTAGGTACATGGTTTCCTTTAAAGTAGGTTTGAGTTTAGAATAGTTGTTAAAAGTATATAGCATTAGCCTCATTTGAGATATGATGGGTTCTCTTTTGGAATCACAGTAAAGGTTTTTACCATGCATGAGTTCAGTCTTCCAAATCTCTATCACCATGATTATTTAGGCCACAGCAAAATCCTTTCTTCAGATCTTTATATTTCTTTTTTAAATTATATTTATTGGGGTGATATTGGTTAATAAAATTGTATAAGTTTCAAGGGTACAGTTCTATAATACATAATCTGTATGCTGCATTCTGTATTTACCACCCAAAGTCAAAACTCCTTCCATCACCATATACAGTGTGTATATATATATTTGTTTTAATCTTCACTTAAGGATATTTTTTCCATTGCTTTTCAGAGGGAGTGAGGGGGGGAGAGAGAAAAACATCGATATGAAAGAGACACATTGATTGGTTGCTTCCCACATGAGCCCTGACCAGGGCTGGGACTGAACCTGCAACTGAGGTACATGCTTTTGTCTGGAATCCAACCCAGGACCTTTCGGTCTGAGGACTGACACTAACCACTGAGCCAAACCAGCTAGGGCCACCATATTTTGATCCTTTTACCTTTACTACCTCCATCCTCCCCCCCATTTTCCCTCTGGTAACCACCATACTGTTACCTGTCTATGAGTTTTTGTCTTAATTGTTCATGTGTTGTTTTCAGTTTTATATTCTACATGAGTAAAATCATATGGTCCTTGGCTTTTTCCATCTGACTTATTTTGCTTAGTATGATATTCTCAAGATCCGTCCATGTTGTTGCAAAAGGCAATATTTCATCTTTTCTTATGGTTGAGTATTATACCATTGGATATATCTACCACATCTTCTTTATCCAATCATCTATTGAAGGACACTTCAGTTGTTTCCATGTCTTAGCCACCATGAATAATGCTGCAGTGAACATAGAGGTACATATATCTTTATGAATAAAATGTTTTCAAATTTTCAGGTAGCTCCCAGGAGAGGGATTGCTGGGTCACATGGTAACTCTATTCTTAATTTTTTGAGGAACCGATTCAACATAGTACTTACTAGAAGTCCTAGCCAGAGCAATCAGGCAACAGAAAGAAATTAAAAGCAACTAAATTGGGAAGAAAGAAGTAAAATTGCCACCTTTTGCAGAAGACATGAGATTCTTTATATATAAAACCCTAAAGACTCCATCAAAAAAACCTATTAGAAACAATAGAAAATACAGTAAATTTGCAGGATACAAAATCAATGTACAAAAATCCATTCCATTTCTATGTATAACAAAGAAATTTTAGAAAAATAAATGAAAAAAAACAACAGTTCCTTTTGCAATTGCAACAAAAATAATAAAATACCTAGGAATAAACTTAACAAAGGATGTGAAGGACCTATACACTGGAAACTATAAGACATTATTAAAATAAATTGAATAAGACACAAAGAAATGGAAAAATATTCTATGTTCATAGATTGGAAGAATCAACATATTACCCAAAGCAATATACAGATTTAATGCAATTGCCATTAAAATCCCAATGGCATTTTTTAAAGAAATAGAACAAAAAAATCATCAGATTTGTGTGGAACCACAGAAGATCCTGAATAGCCAGAGCAATCCTGAGAAAAAAGAAAAAGCTGAGGAATCATTACTCCCTGACTTTAGATTATACTATAAAGTGACAGTAATCAAAACATCATCTTATGTTGGGAATAGGTTTTTACCGTGCCTCAAATAAAGACACAAGGAATCGAAAGTAACTCGACAGGCAAACTTTACTTCTGCAGAAGGGTGCAGAGCTACCTAAATCAGGCAAGCAAGCACACTAAACAGGGAGTCCATTCAGCGTTTATCCCTAACGCGACTGCCACTGCACCATGCCCAATTGGTTAGGGTGAGGCTTCACAATCTAAACCAGTAGCCTAATTTGGAAAATGCTCACGTGGAGCGGACTTTTGGGATGGACAATTGCCCACACATACTCTGAATACAAATGGGGGGCTGCTACAGTAAAATGGAGGACGCTAAGGTGGGCATTTATTCAGTTTGGCCTATTCTAATCCCTTTGACAGAAAAGATTATTTCCTTCTCAGAGTTATCAGCCTATTCCCTGTTTCTGACTTCCTGACTGAATTTTAGAAGGTTGTTTTTTTCCTAGGAGTTTGTCCATTTCGTACAGGTTGTCCAGCTTGTTGGCATATAGTTGTTCATGGTATTTTCTTACAATCCTTTGTATTTCTGTTGGATCAGTTGTTACTTCACCTCTTTCACTTCTGATTTTGTTTATTTGGGTCCTCTCTCTTTGTTTCTTGATGAGTCTGGCTAAAGGTTCATCAATCTTGTTAATCTTTTCAAAGAACCAGCTCTTGGTTTCATTGATCTTTTGTATTGTTTTTTTAGTCTCTATGTCATTTATTTCTGCTCTTACCTTTATTATTTCTTTCCTTCTACTTACTCTGGGCTTTTTTTGTTCTCTTTCTAAGTTTTTAAGTTGTAAGGTTAGAGAGTCTATTAGAAGTTTTTGTTGTTTTTTGAGGTAGGCTTGTAGTGCTCTGAACTTCCCTCTCAGGACTGCTTTCATTGAGTCCCATAGATTTGGAGTTGTGTGTTCATTTTCATTTGTTTCCAGGAAGTTTGATTTCTTTCTTGATCTCTTTGGTAACCCATTCATTGTTTAAAAACATGCTTTTCAACCTCCATGTGTTTAAATGTCGTTTAATGTTTTTATTGTAGTTGATTTCTAATTTCATGCCACTGTGGTCTGAGAAGATGCTTGATATGATTTCAGTCTTCTTGAACTTATAGAGACTTGTTTTGTATCCTAACGTGGTCTATCTTTGAGAATGGCCCTTGTGCACTTGAGAAGAATGTATATTCTGCAGCTTTGGGGTAGAATGTTCTGTAAATGTCAGTTAAATCCATCTGATCTAGTGTGTCATTTAGGGTTACTTTTTCCTTGTTGATTTTTTTGTCTGGAAGACCTATCCAGTGAAGTCAGTGGGGTGTTAAAGACCCCTACTATGACTGTATTGCTGTCAATCTCTCCCTTAAAGTCCTCTAGAAGTTTTTTTTATAAATTTATGTGCTCCTACATTGGGTGTATATATGTTTATCAGGGTTATATCCTCTTGTTGGATTGATCCCTTTAGTATTTATATAATGACCTTTCTTGTCTCTCGTTATGGTCTTCATTTTGAAGCCTATTTTGTCTGATATGAGTATTGCTACCCCAGCTTTTTTCCATACCTTCACTCTTGTCCTGTGTGAGTCTTTTGTTCTGAGGTGAATCTCTTATAGACAGCATATATTTGGGTTATGTTTTCTTATCCATTCAACCACCCTGTATTTTTTTAGTGGGGCATTTAATCCATTTACATTTAAGGTTTTATTGAAAGATACTTATCTACTGCCATTTTGTTTCTTTATGTTTCTCATTCTCTTTATTTCTACATCTAATTATAGCAGTCCCTTTAACATTTCCTGTAATGCTGGTTTTGTAGTGATAGTCTTTTAGCCTTTTTTTTTTGTCTGGGAAGCTCTTTATTTCACCATCCAGCTTGACTGATAATCTTGCTGGATAGAGTAGTCTTGGTTTCAGATCCTTGTTTTGCATTACCTTGAATACTTCATGCCATTCCCTTCTGGCCTGTAGAGTTTCTGATGAGAAGTCAGCTGAGAGCTTTATGGGGACTCCTTTGTAGGTAACAGATTGCTTCCCTCTTGCTGCCTTTAAGATTCTCTCTTTGTCTTGAATTTTTAGCAATTTAATTATGATGTATCTGTGCATGGGCCTCTTTGGGTTCTTCTTGCTTAGGACTCTCTGTGCCTCCTGAACTTGTGTGACTTTTTCCTTCACCAGGTTAAGGAAGTTTTCTGCTATTATTTCTTCAAACAAATTCTCTATCCCTTGCTTATTCTCTTCCCCTTCTGGCATTCCTATGATATGAATATTGTTAGGTTTCACGGCTCCCTTAGACTGTCCTCCTGTTTTTTAATTGTTTTTTCTTTTTGGATCTCTGATTGAGTCATTTTCTCTACCCTGTCTTCTATATCGCTGACCTGACCCTCAGCTTCCACTAATCTGCTCTTTATTCCTTCCAATGTATTCTTTATTTCTGCTATATCATTCTTAATGTCCTTCATAGTTTCCCTATCTTTTCTCATCATCCTTAAATCAGTATTCTGAACTCTGTATGTGATAGATTGCTTATCTCCATTTCATTTACCTCTTCTGGAGAATTCTCTTATTCTTTAATTTGGGGCTTGTTTTTTGGTCTCCCCATTTTGGCTATCTGTTTTGGGTTGTTTCTACATATTAGGTAGGCCTGCTAGGACTCTCAGTCTTTTTGGACAGTCTCTGGTGCAGGCCATTGTCAGATGCTGCTTGTGACTGGCCTTGAGTACCCTGTGTGGAGCTATCAACAGTCCAAGGCTTGTGGCTCTCTCTGCTGGGGCTAGGTGTGTTTGGACGTGACCAAGATGCACACCAAAGCCTCCTTTTCCAAGGCCCAGGTCCAGAAGCAGATCAGGCAAATACTCAAAGCACGCAGAGGTCCGCCTCTGCCTGGAGGCTGATTAATTTGAGTGTCTTAATGAGCCTTAGGCTGTAGGCCACGGCAAGGTGTAAACTCCACAGAGTGAGGCAAGAGGTTTTCCAGTGGGTGAGGCAATTGCTTCTCCCTCTATCCCCCAGACAAAAGCTGCCTGGCTGGCAAAGGTTTGCCTGGGAAAGATCTCTACACTATGGAGGAATGACTCAGCACAGGAATCTAAATGGCTGCCTTCTGAACTCTATCTCCAGAGCCCACAACCCTGAATTCTCCACACTCCACTCTAGTCCACTCTGTCCTCCCTCTGCCAGAGCCCAAGGTGAGCCACTGCACACAAAACTTTTTGCTTTGGCCCTTTAAGAGGGTGCCTGAATTTCCAGCCATCTCTCCCTGGCAGGCAGAAACCATGCTGCCTTTCACATC